TCTTGACGGATTTCTCTGCTTTTTTCACCACCGGGTACCACTGAGCATCATCTCGTCTCTCTGAACTCTCCTACAAATTATCATAATCGCGCCTTTAAGCATTGTACGATACGCTTGACTAGACCATGGCCAGGATTCGCCCATCGCACGAGTAACCAATCACAGAGAATTTGGTGGGCGGGGCTGACATCGGTAGCGTCGCTCCACTGCATTTTGCTTGAAAGTTTGTGAAATCCGCCTTTAGTTTCGCCTGGATGTAACTCTCTAGAACTCACTTCCAGTGTTGTAAACCATGAGCGCCGTTCCAACGCGTTCAAGGCGAATTTGCCATCGGACGGTACCGCCGGTGGTGAGGCAGTACACGGTGTATCGGCACAGGCAAATGATGGACGGTTGAATCGGTGGAGTGTCCTCCATCGCCATGTCTACACATGTGTCACCCAGATTAAAAGTCCAATCGAACTGAAAATATGCATATTGCATATTTGTATTTTTATTTGCTACTATTATTATTTATCACGTATTATTAATTGTGTATTATGACAGTACATATTTGCATTTCATTCAGCGGACCCTGCGACTGCGCGGGACTAACGCTAGGGAGAAGAAGAAGACATATTTGTATTTCATTATCGATCCCTGTTTTCTTCCTCTGCTTTATTGGCAGGAAAAAATAAGCCTGAGATTTGACATGTCTAAAGGAAGAAAAATGGTTAAAGTATGCAAACAAACGGAGAGGAAGCAAAGCACTGTGCTACCTTAAAGGCACATGCTGCGATTAAATTGGTATAGATATCTCACCACAAAATGAAAGTAGAGGTGCAAAATGGACCGATATGAAAAAAGGAAGAGGAGAGAAACCACCGAAATCGCTGAAAATGAGAGTCCTCCTCGTCTGTTATTGAGAAGTAAGTGATATTGAGAAAAATAAGAGATAATGGGGGCCAAGGAGAGGAGAAAGAATCGGAGACGAGAGAGCATGGATGGAAACAAGCGTGGGCAGGACCAACGACGAGTTCGATAACGGCTGATTTTCCTCTAATAATTCGTAGAGGACTGCATCAGTTCAATTTATTTTGAATTTTATATGAAAAATATGCAGCACGACGCTGCCATCTGAATGTTAAATAATAAGTAATAATTCAAATTAATTAATATAAATAATTAAATTAATGTAAGTTAAATATCAAATAATACTTGAATTAATTAAATAATAATTGATACCAAACACGCAAATAATCAAAAGGGCAAAGCAAATATCGAACGAAAGTAAGTCTCCTACCGTGACCCGTTTCCCAGTGTTGCCAAGTCCTGCCAGAAGGCTGAACTTCACACT